CAACACTTTGCACTATTTAGTAGTTTAGTTCTATTTAGTCCAATAGAAATAAATCTCCGACCGACAACTTTAAAAAAAAGTTGTATACTGTATCATACAGTGGTCTGGCAGTTTGCCTAAAGTAGCTGGATAACCATTGACGAGTGTTGTTTGCTTTTCCAATGGGAATCGAATGAGAAAATAGCCATACATAGTCTCCCCGCTCCTCCGCTTTCAGTGTCGTCACGCAACGCTTTCTCCCCTAGCTACTCAGCGTGACGACACTGAAAGCGGCTGTGGGGGAGACTAAGCCATACAAGGATCACAGAGAAAATCTGTCGCAAATGGGTTCATCCACCATAAATGCTGCATTTTTCTTAAAGTGGTTGGTTAAAGTAAGATGGATAATAACTCTTGAGACAATTATCCTCTGAAAAAATAACATTCACACAAACACAGAACATTCCTCCTTTATTATTGATTATGTAAAAGTAATTCACCAAGCTTATTTTAATCGCTCAAAGTAGGATGGGGTAATTCAAAAGTATTAAGGCATATGAGGTCAAGGTTTTGAATATAGACACAAAACTAATTCTTGTTTTTCTCGGTTTTAAATCCCTTAGAACTAACTAATTACAACCAGATCAGATTACTGCAAGAGCCGTGTCCTTCCAATGAAGAACAAATTATTTTTAGAGTATTTTAACTACTCATACAGATCATTTCCTGTAAATCAGGGCCCAGTTGTCTAAAACCTACTTAGCCAGGGTTCTTAGACTAAGCTTAAATGTCGAACTTCACATGAGCCGCACCTAATTGCCCTAATTCACTATGACGTCACATCAAAACAATCTTCAACAATCTATTGTTTAAACGCAAAGGATCATGATCGTCGGAGGGGGTCAATTCACCGAAAATTGTTCTTAAACCCGTATCAATCCACGAAGAGAAGTAGAATAGCCAGCAAACGCTCAGAATATTTTTAGTACATGTTAACACATATTATAATATCTGAAAATCAGGCCATTTTAGATTAAAATGTTTCGCTAGGAGCAAATTTTGTTGAATTTTCTATTGCATTTGGCGATTCTATCCCCCACATAAACAAGCAGTGACGTCATAGTGAATTAGGGCAATTGAAACAATGGATAACATGACGATCTTCTTTGATGTTATTAGTTTCGGCTCATGTAATGTTGGACGCTTGACATGAGCCTAACTAAAACACGTGGTAAACTTGAAGAGGTTTTCCGGGATCACATTACGGCTAGAATGCAGTCGTTTTACCCGAGAAATAATTCAATTTACAAGATTAAAATGATTACGTTGTTCTGCCATCTAACCTGACCGCTAAAAATAAATCATTTTGATTAGTGTCGTCATTCTCGCACTTTTTCACTCACTCACCCACACTAACACTATTTTCACATTTTGATGATATACGGAGGGAGGAAAACACGCTATCACGTGATCATGTAAAGCCTCTTTTACCACTAACCAAGCTTGGAAACTCAACCCCGGTGACTAAACTTGGAACATGTAAGTTAATGCGGAAATGAACTTTTATCAGTATTTGTTTACTAAAATAATGTCACTTAATGCGGCCCGCATTGGCAACTTATTTTAGATGTGAGAAGTGCAGCCAACACTCATCAAACCTTGTAACAAGAATGCAAAGGCACACAGTGCATGTGTCATGCCTCAGTACTGAACTCTTGTTCCAAAAATGTCAAATCACTGTGCTTTTCTTTGCACCATTTTCAACCAAGGCATTAGTTATAAACTTCAAGATAGCGATCGCTGCTTGCTAGTCTCGTTATTTTAAATTAATATTTCTTAAATAAAAATAGTATATTGACACCATGATATATCATGTGATAAATACACGGTAACATACACACATCTCTAGTCTACCTATACCTATAAAGCCCCGTTTACACTGGCGATTTTTGCGGCGATTTTTGCTGCGGTTTTTGTGGCAATTTTCGTAAATATGAAATCTTTTGTCTAATCCCGCCTTCAAAAAGGAACAAATCTTGGTATCCTGAAAAAAACTTTACAAGTTCTTTACCATTATTTATTATGGACAAAATCGCCGCAAAAATCGTAGCAAAAATCGCCGCAAAAATCGCTAGTGTAAACGGGGCTTAAGTATCATGATTGTACGGTACATAGAATGATTTTACTCAGACCATCAAATAGTATACCTAGAGGTAAGCCGTTTTCTTTTGTGTCTATTATATACTGTAACTACTAGAAACTGTTTCACAGCCTGAGAAAAATCTCTCTAACAGTACGTGTGAAACGTAAGCTGTCTCATATTTTTCCATGCTCAATTATCATATTAATTGATGTACGCAAACTGTGAATGGTTATTGTAATAATACACTGATTTCATTTAACTCATGAATACTACGATACTAACGATAAGTGTCTAATAGTCCTAAGTAAAAAGAATTAAAACAACGAAGCTGGTCTATACACCGAATCGAAATATGGCGACCAATTTGAACAACTATTGTTCTGGACTGACTAGCCTCAAATTCATTATTTGTTATTGTATTTCGATTTGGCGTATTGAACGACCATTACTATACTACTTGTTCTATCTATTCCATGAGATAAATGAAATCATAGTAACATACAATCTACGATCATCTAGGAACGGATCTAAGGTTTTGATCTATGAGGGGAATTCATTGATTTTCAATTCTCAGGGATGCTTTCCCTTATATTTATGCTATCAGTGAACAGGAGGGAAATGGGTGGAGGGGATGCGGACTTCAATAACTAAGTATAGTTGGATAATAACTAAGTATAGTTGAATAATAATAGTCCCTATTTAATTTGATAAATACACCCAATCAATAGCCAGATTCCGTCTTTATTTCTTAAGACTTTTTTTACATTAAACACAAACATCAAAATAAACAGCAACTCTTAAAGTGAGAAGAACAACTGCTATAAATTAAAAATGTACAACTCCAAGTTTGTGTTTGTGTTGCACTTGTAAGTCAGGCTTTACATAGCCACGATCTTTAATGTTGTCTTATCTACAATGACCATTTCACCCAACCTTTAACTTATTTCACCAAGCATAGGAATAGGGAAAACACAACCCAGTAATCTTCCTTATACCACAGTGAAGGCGCAAATTCATTGTTAAACCCCAAAAGACAATTACACCTTTAAGCTAAAATTCAATTTACTTGTGTCTGATAGGAGTTTTAAACCCGCTGTATTTCAAATAGTTTGACGTCTGTGTCATACCAAATGGGAGGGTCAATGTTCCTAGGATAATTTAAACATACAACATAGGTAAATATGCAAGTTGTGTTCCATTACCGGAGCATGGAATCCTTGTTAATGTAATAGACCTTTCCTGAATACGCTTGAATGACCAAGAAACAATAACTGCAAGTCAAGTCCCCCAACCCCTCCCCAGGCACCCCGCCAAGGTCTGATACTCGGGGTAAGTTGAGGGTGGATAAATGAATGCATTTAGTCCAACCTCTATTTGGAGCTATTCTTTGGTTGGCCAATCAAGCAAATTCAGGAAAGACCTATAGAGACTTTGGACCATCATGTTATGACAGCCATAGCAAAAGAGTATTTTCCTATGGGAAACTGAATTTTTTTCATAAAAATAAGTTAAGACTAGATTCAATGGTTCCTGCCTATGTCATGGCTGCCATCACATGATGGTGCAAAGCCTGGCTACTGATAAACAAGCTTCTTTAAAAGGAAGATGTCAGAACTTGTTCATCATGAAGAGTGAGTTGGAATATGTGTGTTTGGAAAACAAGAAATAATAAAATGATTTGAAACAGATCTGAACTAACCTTAAGTATATGATCCCCCACATGTAGGTACGGAACCACATTTGTGTACCACTGTTGGCCTAAAACATATGATTATGGTTAGCAAGTACCCTGCACAGTACAACATGATACAGTTTGACTGAGGGGATAAAAATTAAATATAAGAGATCTAGACTGCTAGATGTAGGAAGGAATGGTAGAGAAAATAGGGGAATGCAAGAACATGCAAGGAAGAGGTGGGTAGGGGATATACAAAATAATTTACGATTAGTATATGTAATAGGACTCCATGCTGTCCAATTAAGAAATAATTGGACAAGGAAAATTCCGAGGACTGACAAAATTGGATGAGGCCATTGGGGAGCATGAAATCCCATTACCTATTAATTAATCCCATATCAACAAGACCTGTCCAATTAAGAAAATAATTGGACAGTTACCTATATGGGATTAATGAGAAGCTGTATAATTAATATCTTAATTATTATTAATTTAATATTTTATTATTTATTTACAATGGGTCCCAATGTAAACTACTGGTTTACCAGTAAAGTTCAAGCTCAAGTTCAAATCCAGTGGATGTTTAAATGACTTATTACTTTGTATTCCCTGTTGGGTGGTAAAGAATGAGAGCACAAGGAAGGAGGAGATATGATGGTGAGGAGGGTTCAAACATTACCTGGTATTTCCTGATCAGTATAGGATGTGGTACAGGAAGTAGACCAACGAGGGTGCCATGCTGAAGGAACTTGATGATTTCTGACTCATCTGTCAAACCCCTGCAGAAAAGCAGTTTCTTAGCCTACAGAACTGTCATCAGACATTTAACATTCTATTCATTTTATGAAAAGATACTCCTAGCTGCTTGTGATTAATCATTCTAGGCTTTTCCATAGCATGGGTATGATGTGGGGACAAGTCATCTCCCTAGTACTGTGTATGTACAAGTAACTCAAATGACAGACTGAACATGATGTACTAAGCACGTTGCAGCCACAGGAAAACTAGTGTAATTGTTTAATGACGAAGGCCATTTTCAGCAATGTCTTCAAAACGTGTTGCATAAAAGACTGCAGCTGCTTATGTTCACTTGGTTTTCATTATCAATAACAAATTATTATCAATTACTTATCAATGCAGATCTTTTCCACTTGTGGGACCAGCACTTGGAGCATTCTCATGATAGTCTGTAACGGTAACTTCTGCTTCCATGACTGGACCTATCAATGTTAGTATGAGTACTTCAGGTTAAAATTCTGAAGAACAGTTTTCATGATTGTCTTATCCAAGCAATCTGATAGGATGAACAGTAATCTCATGATTCTCTGATTGGTTTAACACATGTCATCAATTCCATATTGGTCGGTTTACATACAGCTCTCTTAAACTTTAAGTATTGTTCCAAAACGAGAGACCATTGTAGTGATAAAAACAATACTTATACGGATGTTTTAATCTTAAGAGAGCTTTAGCAGCTGTGCAGCAGTGTATCAGTGCCCAGGCCTGCATGCAAATTTGAAATCCTATGGTCTTCCATAACATTCATTGTGAACGCTGTGAATCTTTTATTTAACTTTAGGGAGGTGCAATGTCTACTATACCTACCCATTCAGGGGTAGCTATGAATGATCCACTTGTAGTTACTGAAGCTGATCTTCCAATGGCCTTCTTCTCTCTCCTCTTGACACTAGCATTGGATTCAGCACTATACCGACCCTCAACATCACTAGTCTCTGATTCACTACCAGGATGCCGAACTTGGGTCACTGACACTACAAGCAAATGACACAGCAATCTAGGCATTTGTTCAAGCCTTACAGGACATACTTGTCAAAGGATTTTCAACAGGATATGGCAGTATTTCATAATACTTGGTCGCTATCCATATCAATCACTGTTGTTTTAAGTACAACATTAGTATAATGATATATAAAAATATTATACTGTAAACTATAATATAGTTACACAGCTAATGTCCTAGAGGTGCAAAGGGGTAAAGAGAGGGTACCATTTTTCTCAACACTTTCAAAAGAAAGGACATGATTATCTTGTAAATGGATTATTTCAATTTAGTGAAACATAAATTTGAGCATTGCTGTATTCACACAATTTATAAACACATATTTAACATGTAAGAGTAAGAGATTGTTACTGTACATACTGTCAGCAGACATCTCTGGAAGTCCATTAGTATGATGCTCTCCTGAATCATCACTAGGAAAAACCAAAAATACATGAATAAAGTATGCAACAACAGCACCGGTTGCATCATCACCACCACCATGCATCACCATCATCATCAATAACAATAGCATCATCATCACCAACAATGAATCAGCATCATCCACAATAACTTAACAACAGCAGTACCATCATCATCAACACCATGCATCATCATTATCATCATCATCAATATCAATAGCATCATCATCACCGACAATGAATCAGCATCATCCACAATGACTTATCAACAGCAGTACCATCATCATCACCACCATGCATCATCATTATCAACATCATCAATAACAATAGCATCATCATCACCAACAATGAATCAGCATCATCCACAAAGACTTAACAACAGCAGTACCATCATCACCACCACCAATGAATCAGCATCATCCACAATGACTTAACAACAGCAGTACCATCATCACTGCCACCAATGAATCAGCATCATCCGCAATGACTTAACAACAGCAGTACCATCATCATCACCACCAATAATCAGCAACATCCACAATGACTTAACAACCAGTGCCATCATCACCATTAATGCATCATTATCATCATCAATAACAACAGCACCATCACCACCAATGAATCAGCATCATCCACAGTGACTCAACAACCGCAGTGACTCAACAACTGCAGTACCAACAACAACAGCAACACCATCATCAGTATCACCCTGATAAAAAACAACAACAGCAGCAGCTACCTCATGACCAGCATCATCAACAACAACAACAACAGCAACACCATCATCACTATCACCATCATCAAAAACAACAGCAGCAGCTACCTCATGACCAGCATCATCAACAACATTAAGTACCTCTGAATTCATGATCATTGCAAAAAATGATTAATATTAATATGCAGTAATTAAATATAATTTAATGTTTTAGTAAATAAAAAAGTAGATAAATTTGATTATTATTACCATAAGATTGAAAGTTATCAATATCACTCAGTCATACTTCATTACCTTTGATGTTCAGTACTGCTTGTACTTGGAACACTGGTCTTTTTCTTTGGTTTCTGAATTGTAGCTGGGTCAGTAGGCAGGTTAGCAAGCTAATATAAAACATTATGGTTAAGACCTTAAATTTGACATGTTGAGTACCAATCTAGAAAAAGCACATTATGGCAAAAAATGATGTGCTAAAAAATTAATCACAGATTGTATTAATTCTGAATCAGTGAAAGAGAAACAGCACTAAGAAGATATTAGACTTTATTCAATTATACTGCAAATGCTACTGAGTTTAAGCACATCCAAACAAAAAGATATAACTAGCTAAAAACTAGTGTGAGCTGCGTCGGTGTTTCTAATGAAACAGTAATGATGAAAAGGTAAAATATACACCGTGAAAAGATAAAAAAACTTACTGACGTTTCAGACGCTAGTCCATCGTCGGAGTAAAAACAATCCAAACAAGAAAAGTGACCTTGTTTTAAGATATTGTGCAGCATATTGTGTGGTGTAATCATATGCATTAGTGCTCATAATCTGATGACACATTATGAGTTTATCAGATTTGGATGTACATAATAATAACCCTGAGAAAAAGGTCCCTTCCTGGCCAACAGGAACCTCACATACCTGATGAAATATATTACGTTTTCGTATAATTGCATATACAAGATGGGAGTTGCCTGGAAGGAAAAAATGAATACAAATTAATAGTGTTATAAAATCAATTACGTCAAGTACTGTACATATTATCAAAGCCTTGAAATGAGTCAATCATCATTGAAGTACAATGTTAAAATTTGGGTTTTGTTAAACCTAAACAAGATGAAGAAATCCAAAATAATGGGATGGGGTGGGGTGGAGGAGGGGGGATGGGGTCACTGTTGCCTAAAAGTAGAAGACCAATTCCAATATTATTACCTAATATATCCACTAGGAGGCTTAGGAGGCTTTCATTTGTTGTAGAAACCAAATTTTACACCACCTAGAAACTTCCCTCTTACAAAGCCCTAATAGCAAAGTACTATGTATTTGTATTTTGTAGCACCATGCCTTCAGTTCTCCTTCAGTGCTTTAATTTTGTATTTAGTACATGCATATTTTCTTGACTTACCATCAAACTGGTACTGTATGATATTGTTAAAGATCTCTAGTAAAAAGAACACCAAATGATGGTTGGTAGGGTTGGCAAACAGGAACCAAGGAGTAGAGAATGCCTGTAACAGACAACAGGATCATCACTTTAACATAGTTTATATATTTGTATTCATATTCAGTGAGAAGACCATTGGTTATTGTCTGACGGGTTGTTGAGAAGGGATAATCATGATTGATCAGTAGTCAAATCTATTACAAGATAGTAGCACATCAATTGGTATTAATTAAGCTGCTAGAAAGGTATCCCCTGGACTACCCCTTTGCATGAGACATGAGAATTTCTGGGTTTTTTTCCCTTCAAAAATATACTGATTGATAGGCCATGAATATGGAACAAGTCATTCAGATGGGTAAAAAAGATGTCCGATGCATAACACATAATTATTGAATATTATCATAATTATAATTTATGATTATTACCTAGTAAAGTGTAATGATCATATTATTACAGTATACAACAAAAAACCTGACCAAAAATTTTTTTTACCTCAAGTAAGTGAAGAAGTTTATTAGCTGCCACCATGGATAATGACTTGAGATAAGGAGAGACTATATGAGAGAGGGAAAAAATAAAGTGAGCAACAATAGTAGTGAGATGTAAAATTTTTTTCATAAACAAAAACTGCAAATTATTTTAGTAGCATTTTAGTAGCCTTCTTGCAGCTTAACTTTCTCTTGTATAACCCACAAATACGTTTGTCAGGGGGGGAAATATCATGGGCACTCACTTAGGTATCCTCAAACTTATTATAATTCATTAAAATTATTCCAAAATGTATAGCAGTATAATTTCAGCATTGTTGCATGAATTAATACCAGCTATCAATACTTACCATTGACAATAATGGTAAGTAAGCAATCAAACAGGGGCTGTAATCTTTGATGTCCAGTGGTAATGATCTTGTGGAAAACCTAAATAACACGGAAGTCCTTGTTCATAAAAATTAAACAAATATACTACTAGCAAGTAATGTAAAAAAATTAAAATTCATGAAGAGAAAATTGGAAGGAAGTGGACAAGACAAATGTTAAGTGGAAAGGAAAATGTCATTAAGTGAAACTGAGAAAATTAGAAATTGGAAATGTCGGGAAAGCTGGGTGAAGAAAAAAATAACGTAGAAAGGAGAGAGTATAGTCCTCACTGTTTTAAGGTATCAGCTAATACAATTTTGCTTTCGAATAATGAAATTTTTGAAAACTCATTATCTTGTTCATTAAGCTTAAATCTATAATCTTCATTAAAAACATTTTCAAAATATTGATAATAACAGAGGTATTTTGAAAAAATATTTTTCGATAGTTTTTGAGGCATTGCTCCGTTGACAGGAGCTGTCAACCAGAAGTCAAACAGCTGGTGCAATCTCAAATGAGATGGAATGGAGATAAACAAGTCGAGAGAAAGATGCAATGCAGAGAAACAAAGGGCCACACATTTTCAAGATATTAAAAGAAAATTCTAGTTAATGATGCCATAATGCAAATATATGCCTATAACAGCAAGCATACACATATTTTGTGACTTTCTTACATTATCTTCCATGCACTGTAACTACTTACAATAACTAGGAAATCAGCATGTGTACCAGTAAACACAGGGATGTCCATGGGTACTCGCACAGAGTATGGCTTGTTTAATCTCACACCTGATATATCACAAACAAGAGATTACATAATTAAAGTTAATTATAGGTGTTGAACCGTTGAACCTTTTGTAGTCAGTGGAGGCTAATGTTTGGGTCAATATACATCAGTTACAATGCCAAAAATATCGATCTGCTAACATCTTAGTGAGTGAGTGAGTGAATGAGTGAGTGAGTGACACATTTGCATATTCATACATCTCACAATAACTCATTTCTAGGCTTTGCATATCCACGAGTTAAAAATGACATCAATATAATATGAATACCGTAATTAACAAGGTTAAACATAATTTCATACCGAAATTTCTTTCTCCACTCAGAAGTAAAAGGATAAAAACACCAATATGCATAAGACCAAGACRAGCTGAAAATGAAAACAGAATGGCATCAATGAATCCTACTGTCCAGAAATCTGTTTCCAAAGCTAAGACATGCCTTAACATATTTACAATATTTACATGCAAGTTACTTATGAATATAATAATTATTTATTGTCTAACTGGGTAATGAAAAGACTTTAGGTCCATACATAGGCATAGCTCCATACATACTTATGCTAACATTAAGAATCAAATCAACAGTTAGGTGTAGTGCCTCACAGTAGAGGCCAGAAAGTGAGGATTATCACTGTAAGGATTTCTTTACAACCTCAATGGATATTTTCTCATGTTTCTATAATGCAAGGTGAGGTAACTAGTGTAGAGAGACAGTTACAGGTCATCTGAGCCATGTTTCAGGACTAACCAATTGTAGATATATGTYGCTATAATGCAAGGTGAGGTAACTAGTGTAGAGAGACGGTTACAGGTCATCTGAGCCATGTTTTAGGTCTAACCAATTGTAGATATATGTTGCTATAATGCAAGGTGAGGTAACTACATAGTGTAGAGAGACGGTTACAGGTCATCTGAGGCATGTTTCAGGTCTAACCATTTGTAGACTCAAATACAGGCAGCACCTTTTCCTCAGTTTAAATATTGCAAAATCCTGAGTGTACTGTAAGTCCAGCCAGGAATTAAATTTGCGTCCAATGCTCAGCCAATTTTAAATACAGTAAAATGGTACTGAAATCACAAAAATCTACATATTTTATCTAGAAGTCATTGGGAAAAAATCCTTCTTCATTTAAACTTACATTGGTCTGATCTTGCATCATTAAGATGGTACAAGATAGGTACTAGTATGTCCAACACATCACTACTTTTAAGGACATAGAACAAAAATTTCTGCAAATTAAACAAAGTACATTAAAATTAATTTAAATACACCTCATGCCTTTTAATCAATTCAAATTAAAGGAATATAAATATATACAAAGATTCATGTGACTGTATTTTATAGACTATCTATAATAAATGTTTATTTTTTTTCAATTTGCTTGTTATTTGTATTGTATTGTATTGTATTTATTTTGTATTTTAGTTACCTTGTTCTGGTCACACATTTTCCAAAACAGAATCAACATTTCTTGATGAAAGCTGATCTTCTTACATGAATTAGGTAAATAAGTCTGAAACATTTGGCAATAAATCATAAAGTAAGTAGCAAGTCCAGCACAATAACAAAACGGCTTTTTCTGTGCTCCATTCAGCAATCAAGCAGGCAGAAAGTGAAATAAGCCGGGAAGAAGTGTGAATAGAAGCATGAGATGTTAGGCAAGTGATTCTGATGAACAGTGCACTTCTTGAGTGCTTTCAATACTTAGTACTTTAATGTAAGAACTATATTACTGGACAGAGCACAAAAAAGGTACAGTTTTCATTGTATTTTCAATTATTGAAAAAATCTGCTGCTTTCTTTTTATTCTGTGCAAAGTTTGCTGCTCGTGCTGATGGCTTTAGCAACTGTGCTCTCATCACTAATGAACCACAGTTCTCAACCAATCAGAGTGTAACTGTACTATCTAAGTTAATGCCAAATTATTTTTACCTGGATCAGAGGATTATTGAGCAAATTAGCCAAACCATGAAGAATGAAGTGAAAATCCTGGAATTCAAAAATGAGACAAGAAGATCAATAACTACTGCCAATGTCAAATGCATACACTTTGTTTCATGGGTTAATGAAAAGTTGACCACTCTATAATTGCCTTCTTTTTATTTTGATTCTTCTATTACTTGAATTGTTTCTGAAAAGCCTTTTCAATAAAAATGTATGTAAACGTATACCATGATATGCATACTGCTAAACAGACCTTTGCCAAAATGGAAGCCGAAAATTGAAATGAGTTAAATTAAAAAAACAATAGCAGCACTAGAAAGAGAACCTTTACTTTTAATTAGTAACTCTACAAAGATTCCTTATGTCAGGTGTTAAAGGTGCTCTTTCCAGTGCTGGTATTGGTTTTTCTCTCAGTTTAACTCAACCAAATTTGCAGTCGCCATTTTGGCAAGGGGTCTATTCTTAACACATTGTTTAAGGCCGGGCAAATCGTCACAGTACTGTAATTACATTAAAGAATTTACAGAATATGGATCGAAGTTGGTGTCCAATTTAAGACAAGAGTCATATATTATTTGGTGGTCTTCTTTGGACAAGGAATCTCTATATTTTGGCAAATATGGCAAGCGCTCCGTTTGTTTGGCCACCACATTATTGGTTTTACCTGCCATTTTACATGGCCGCCTGTTATGGTTGCTATGAGGTTGCAATGAAAGTCACATGATGGTGCAAAGCCTCTTACTATTGGTGCATTGTTTTCTTCACTACAATGTAGACTTGCTAGTATAATATATACTTACTTCTTCTCTGTGTATTCTTGACAGATAATTACAAAACAGATTATCGATTGGCTGCCCCTGAAAAGCATTAAAAAAATTAAAACATTATTACATATAACCATTATTCGCCAAAGATGAAATGATTATTGGTGAAAGTTTACTGCAGAGCCACTTAAGTCCTCATGGTGGCAAAGGTAAAATATGAACTGGTACTCACCAAGCCTTTAGGCAAAATTATTATTGTTCTTAAGTATCATTTACAGACTACTAGAAATACTAGACAATACATCTGTTTTTTTTGTTGTTGAAAATTTATATAATTCTGTATTATTTTAAAAGTGGCTTTCATCAACATATGAGTCACGCAAGAGAGTTTGAAATAGTAGATCAATCAGCATGCATGATTTTCTGGGTAAAGATACTAAAATGCAGTCACTTAGTAACTGGTTTGACAAATACAGGTATAACAACACTACACAACAGGTAAGATTTCTTTTTGTTTTCGTGTTATTACAGTACTTTGCTTTGGTAAATTGTTTACATTAGTGCAAAAAATAACTTTCTCGGAAAGAAAGGACTTAAGGTGACTGCCTACTTTTGGAAATTGATTTAAGCTTTTTTTAAAACTTCGATTTTCCGAATTGAAATTTAATGCTGATTCCAAATCTGGAAAGAAAAATAGGGTGTCCCGAGCTCGTTTTCGAGATAATCAGCATTTAATGGAAGCCTACGCACGAGCTTTTGGAGTAGAAATTGCGCCACCGGAAGTGATTAGAAAAAAATTAAGATTAATAAGATAATAGTTATTTGCAGACTATATGATTGCACGAATGAAGGCTAGTCAATCCTTCTACAATAATACATGGATATTTTCGACAAAAAGACAGAGAGATACATTGATTTGTCATATTTTGTAGTTTCGGTGCTCTTAAAAAATCTCACAAAGTCGAACAAAAATCCCTACGAAAATCTATTTTTTCACATGTTCCTGATTTAAACTTTTCCTAAAATGTTGATATAACCTAGATTTTTAGGAGTTTTTTCGAATGAGCTATCAAAAAATATAGAGTCCCGTGCAAAATTTGAGGGTTTTGCCCTGTTGAAGCTCAAAACGCGTATGGTTCTTCAATAAAATCTTGTAGATTTTTCAGCGGTTTTTGAGCGCGCGCTCATCGTGGGCTCAATTCGAACGTTCAAAAGTAGGCAGCCACCTTAAGCTTTAAATAACAGTTTGGTTTTGAAAACCATGGTACAAAAAGGTACTCTCTCTCTCTCTCTCTCTATTGAGTCATAATAATTATGACTATTATCAAATAATTATGACTCATTATGACTAAATTTTAGTAGCCATACATTAAGTGTGACATTTTAAGAAAAGACAATAATTGTGCAAGTAAATGTGAATAGATGAGTACCTCAAGTGGAAGGTCAGGCAACTCAGGTTCATCATGTTGATTACCATTATCATGGTCTAGCAAAACAACAAGTAACTGGGCTGCAACCTCTACTAGAGGCTCCTTGAAGTCAGTAAACATCATATGGTTATACCTGAAACACCCCAGTCAAACCACACTGTTATTACAAGTAAGGAAAGGACCATTGAGCATCCTAATAAGTACATTTTTATTATAAGGTCCACATCTTCACTTTCATTCACTGTTGTTTGTATTGGACAGGTGAGACAAAAAAGACAATTTGCTGACATTGACTGTCTATATTCTATTTCACCATTTGCTTCTAAGATAACTAACTGATCAGAATCTTTGCATCTCAATTTATTACACTTAGAACATAACTGTGGATATTGTTAGGATGTAGTACTTACGGGACACCATAGCCAACAGGGTCATATGAGCACACCGTGTTAAGAATTGAGGTGAAAAGAGGAAGGGCATGCCTGAAACAAGAATTTAACAACTTCAAGCTATGATTTATCAATGAATATTCAGGGTTAAAGCTCGAATATTTTGGACTCATGCTTGGGAGACTGAGCAATCAATCTCTGCAATTTGAGCATAAAATTAATATTACTCCTATTTTTTAGTATTACCAAGTACATTTAATCAGAAGGGACTGAACTATGATTTAATCTGAGAGAAATTATTACACATATTATTAGTTATATATAAATTATTGTGTTAATTTTGTGATTTTGGAGCCCTCATATCTGGCATCCAAGGCTAAAACGGTTGTAGTTTCTCTTACCTATTGTCTGAAGAAGCAAAGTAACACAACCATTTGTTGGGACGGCTGTGGTTTTCAGCTGTTGAGGGAGAACAATCACAACATGAGTAATGTATTTGTCTTTTCCCGGTGGAATAAAATAAAGTTTATTTCTATTTAAGCAAATTTGAGGGCATTTTTCGGGCACACCCTGTTTAAACACGTCAGTTCATTCACTGGCAAATGTTTTGATAGGCAAAATATCAGGAAAACAAGCTTTTCACTTCTTCAAACTTGTATAGTTCCAAAACAAAGTCGGGTTACCCCAATTTTTTTCATAATATTGTATCTACTAATTACTTTACACATTTTCTCCAAGTTCAAAAAATCTTAACATTCAAAGTTTATTTTTTCCTAGATTCTCCATCTACTCAGTCCAAATTGCATGTGATCTCCAAATTTGTGGTTTCTAAAGATTGAAGTTAGTAAAAAGTTAGAGCTAAATACCATCCAAATTATCTCCAAATCTAGTGAAGTAACTCTCAATTTTTTTGGCTCTTCGATATCGACAAGTTAACAAATATCTTTCATCAGTGAAAGAATGAAAAAAGATTAACGTATGAACATGCATGAAATAATCATACCTGAACCACTCTTTATGTTTATAACAATTAGCCTGCAGGTACAGTATTATCCTTATTCACAAAGAAATATTTTGACCTTTGTTATATTAACTATATTAACTATTAATTGCTAGTTTGTGCCCCCTCCCCCATAATGGGAGTTTCCTTTCATAAAATAATACCCTCACTCTTTATGTTTATGAAAATTAGCCCGCAGGTACAGTATTATCCTTATTCACAAAGAAATATTTTGACCTTTGTTATATTAACTATATTAACTATTAATTGCTAGTTTGTGCCCCCTCCCCCATAATGGGAGTTTCCTTTCATAAAATAATACCCTCACCCTCTTTCTATAATAATTGAAAAAATCAACAATCCTAAGGTTTCAGAGAAATAATTCAACATATGTCTTGATGTATGCATTTAGGCACATGCAATAAACATAGTAATATAATACACATACGTGTAGGRGGTAGGTACATTGCCTCTGAGAAGCAAGTTAGTAGTAACTTCAGAAGTTCTCCACGGTTACACTCATACTGAGGGTTAGATGGTGGTGAAGTTGCAAATCCAACTCCTGCTTCCCAGATGTATTCACAACTGTCTATTGAAGACAAGTCTTCATGTTGTTCCTGATCAGTTTAAAGGTGTGGTTTGAATAAATAAATGCACAATCATCATAATATATTTTCAGATAAAATTCATATCTGAAATATTTACACTAAGGAAGGAAGGAAGGAAGGAAGGAAGGAAGGAAGGAAGTGTTCATGGTTCCACTAGAGTTTTTCAAGCAATTTGGGGGGAAATAATATGTTGAATATGAAGATTTCTGCATTTTTTAAACCTGTTATATCGCGCTTGCAAAGGGAACTGATAATATTCCAATTAACGTTTTTACTATTTTGGGCTACTAATTATAGACCATTGCTTAGTATCTAGTAAAACTAGTTAGATAGTGTACATGTTCACAAAGATATACAAAAGCTTGTTGTACAATACTTACTGGGCCAGTTTTCTTGTTTGGATGAACAGTAAATTCTGGGCAGAAACAAAGGTCCTACACAAGAAACAGCAACCAAATAATTGGTCAGTCAGCAGTAAAGATGACCCGCCAAATTATTTTTACATTTTTAGCTTTGTCATATCTTGTTACTGGCTCAACCTTACTGGTCAAAATGACTGGCAAAGATTTGAGCTTTCCAATTCTGGCCAGATATTGGCTGATGACTAGCCCTTATAAGCTAGCACTGATATAAGATAATATGAGAGACATGTTTTTCTTATGGTTTAATTATAACTATTTGTAAGGTACTTACAGCAAGTGCATCTAACAGTGTTTGAGCAAGAGGTGTTTGGGATTCTGCTCCCTAAGAAAAGAAAATAATAATATTTGAAAGACATACATGTATTAGCTGCCTATTTGTTGCAAAGCTTTTGGCATTGTGTACCATGACATGGCCTCTCTACATGTATATTTAAGTCATGTGGAAATTATTTAAACATAGCTAAGCCACATGTATACACCTATTTCAAAAAATGTTGTCATTGCCAAAAGCAATAGCGATAGGTCATTCCAAATGAAAATGGTTTCGTTGAATACAAAGAACATGGAATCAGTCTCAACACCAAGGTCCATGTTCTTGACGAGAATAAGAAAAAGAAACTCAAGTCATCGCAGCTATTTCTGGATCTTGGAAAGACCTATCTCCTATGGCTTTTCCGCTATCACCTGTTGCCTATCGCCTTTGGCGATGACAGCATTTATTGAAATAAGTGTATACTAATACTCATGGTTTACAAGCATGCATTTTAACTCACCAGATCTCCACCATTACCCATACCAGCTTCCTCTGCATTCACCTTAACGTGTCAAATAATAAGGTAACATATCAGTGTACATACAGAGTATTATGTTATTGATAATAACATATTATACTTATTATTTTTTTCATCCTTAAGGAAGTGCAGATTGCATTTTTCTTAAATTCATGTTATAGTGAAGGCATTACTTAACCCATGAAATAAAAAAATACTAGTCAACGTACAATAGTCAAATAGACACAAGAGGAAACAATGGAAACAAGAAAACAAGTAAACCCGGAAAGCCAAAGATCATAAACCAAAGATCACAATGAACATGAAAAAATGATGTTAGACATTGCTATGACAACATCAGAACCCTTGGTATGCCATCAAAAATGTTTATTTAAAAAATCATAACTCAGGAACCAAACTGTGATTTTTTTTAAAAACCGGAATATTTAAACTTTGTATTGTAATCTTCTTTTTGACAAAAAAATAAAAAATTCTGTATGAGCTTAATTGTAAAAATCAATAAAATTTTTTAGGAATAGTTCCTTCTTACAGAATCTTTTAAATTTTTCCTTAAGTTTTCGAAAACAAACCAAAGCCATATGTAAAACTTGAAGAAATTTTACATGCCCAGAGTTTTTTACTTTTTTTAGTTTGAACATTAAAATTTTTGAGGACAAAATTTTCCTTTTGCAAGTTCTACGTCATCAGACCTAGAGCGAGGGGCGCTCAAGAAAAAACTTTTCGAGCCTCCTTAAATGCCTTTACTCTAGTATTAGGTAATCAATAATCTCACTAAATTAGTTTGTATAATTAATAACGATTTACATACGTGCCTTTTTTTGTTTTTGTTTTGTTTATAGTTTCCTTTTTTGTTTCTCTTTTTGTTTTGTTTACATGTATTTCTCTTTTTGTTTCATTTTTTTTCTAATAATGTATAATTGTAAATTTGTTGCCAACAAAAAGCAAATCCTCTTTCAAGATACAAACCTGGGAAGGAATAGTAGACCAGAAAAACCCTCTCCAGTCAGGGTCTTCAAATATGTATGGTATAAACCTTGTAAGCAGGCGAACACAGTTTAACACTGAAAGACAGTTAATGAATGAAAGGTATTATTATTATTCAATAGACCCGTTTCGAATTCCAAATTACCGCTGTGTTTCTTGATTACAGACTCATTTGCACAAGGTTAGCCTCGAGTTTGTGCAGAATATTCATGCATTCCAGTCACGGCCTGTCGAGTTTCAAAGTGTTTGTATTGTTGAAGTTGTGCATTCTTTACTTTACCGTTGGTATTTGTGAATATTTAAACACTGATACGAGGTTAAGCCTGTGTAAATGAGTCTGTAATCAAGGAACACAGCAGTAATTTGGAATTTGAAACTGGTCTATTGTAGTCATTCAATAAGTATTATATTATTAGTGTTAACGTGAGGTCTATTTAAGTCAACAGCATTAAAAGTTACTGCACCTTGTAATTGTTCCTGTGGAGATGGACATCCTGATAATGTTGCTCTATGCAGCTTATCAACACACTAAAATAACACGAAGAAAAAAATCAATTTTGATGATATTTAAAATACTATTATGATAAAATACTATGTATGCCTGATGCACTTTTCAAAGTGAGCCTGGGAGCAACTCAAACTAACTAAAAGCAAAATATTACAGCTACACCATCCCTGTGAGGGGGAGTGAGATTCTCTACTTTTAGCTAACACACTAGGAACCATAGCTAGCCCTAGGAACTATAGACCTACCAAAATAATTGTATAACAATACAAACCATAAACCCGTGACATTAATGCAAATGCAAGCAATGCAATTACTACAGTATAGAACTACATGTACAGTAACACAAACTCAAGAACAAAAATGATTTTGATGTACAAATTGTCTTGTATATCTTAATTTGCTTGCATTTCAACATGTGAACAGTGACTGTATTTGCATTTTTCATTGCTCAACTTAACAATTTTAAGAATAATAATTTCAGTGGCAGATCCAGAATTTGAAAATGGAGGTTCCAGGAATGCTATTTTCTGCATTTTAGAGGGAAACATAATCAATTTTCATTGCTGGAAGCCATGGAACTACCCCTCAATCAATCATATTTCATGTATACATGTACTTATTTGACAATATTATAATTACTGCAATTTTCATGTGAACTCTGTGTCTGCATGCTGAAATTTGGTTTTTCACTGCCGTCAATCAAACCTAATCAATCGGTACCTTTCATATTTTTGACTGGCATCAGCGAAAAATCAAACCTCAGTTTGCAACTTTGAGACAAAGAGGTTGTATGTTTGTGAAAATTGCAGTGATGGTAATTGAATTRTCCCATCACATTAACAATCATAAGAAATTGATTGGCCCTCTTTAGACCAATTAAATTACAAAAGATGTAACATAAAATATTTTTAAATGTATGTACATAAGGGATTTGGCAATATTTGAAGACATCTAGAAAGAATTATTGATAAGTGATAAATGATTTGCTGGAAGTAATTTCTGCAAAAGATGTGACAGAATTTTAAAAATATAAGAAGAAAGTCMATTTATCAAAGAACCAGAACAGAGCAGCTAAATAATTAATAACACTGTAGTTTTGTTGAATACTTTGGCACGTGTTGTTTTATCTCGTCAATCGATTTGAAATTAAGTTGATTGACAGAACAGAAATAAATTCGAGCATATTTTATAACATGAAAAAATATGTTGAAGACCCTCTGTAAACTTGATTCTGATTGTGATTATGGCGTACTCGGTAAAGATGATTTATTATTATTTGATACATTTAGTACTAACTGTAGACTTTTAATTTTCCCTCACATACCGTAAACATTTGAACCAGTTGCTCCCGTATTTACATAGTAAAGCTTTACCCTCTGCTAATGAACTAACCGGGTCTAATAAAATTCACTTTATATTCTAAATATAAAGATATTCTTATTGCCTATTTATCTCTCTATTGTACAGGTTTTTTCTTTCTTTAATGATAAATTATCTCTTGGATCAAAATAATTGTCGAAAATCGCATTTGACCGCAGTTGGACATCATCATAGCAGAGTTTAATACAAAACTCACGAACGGCAAGCTTTTTGTCTTTTGAAAATAAAAAATGAAATAAAAATCATGCTAAAAAGATGTTTCATTTAAACGTAAGGCTAGACAGTGAGTGTCTAGGAATTATCGTTTGGATTTTTTTTTTTCAGCTGACAACACCATAACAAGAAAGCGCTCTTACCTTGCAGCAGAGTGTTGCAAGGTTGGTGGGATTTTCGTCTCGTAAGTTCCGTATTTCTGAAGCAGGGATTAATGTGAAAACATCACTGATAGTAGCAGCTGACTCAGACCAGAATTGATCCCAGAAAGGATCATCATTGGCTTCCACAGCCTGAAACAATAACGAAACAACTACAAGTAAGCTTACATTGTCAGCCAACTTTGATAGCAAGCTACTAGTCCACTTCGTCAGGGCAAAGCGTCGTATTCGTTCTTATATTAAAATAAATGTGCTTCAAAATTGTTTATACATACAGATCTCTTAGAAGTCAGTTGTACCACGGCCTTTCTAAAGTTCAGCTTACTGTCTGAGCTTCCCATTTGCAGGCCGTAAAGATGTAATGTTCACTTTGAAGCAGGACTTGCTCATCCGCCATTAACCGCTTTGTTGTGCCCACAACACTAGTGCGCATGCTCACCGTTCAAGTGGCACCCAGTCCCCTATCTGATCTCTGGTGGGTGGGGAGGGGCTTTGCTCAGCAGTATCACGGGGACTATCACGGTTTTAGTCGCCATTTTGACGAGCAGAGGCAAAGATTTGCGGAAGACGCGATTATGAAATAAATAAATAAATAAATAAACAAACAAATAAATAAATAAATAAATAAATAAATAAATAAATAAATAAATAAATAAATAAATAAATAAATAA